TCCAGCTTCTGTTGCGCATCTGCCTGAATTGTGTCAGTTATTTATTATACTTATGTCTATTTCTCGAGCACGCTTAAGGCTTATCTGAGTCCTGAATAAATAAGTTCCCACACATACTTAAGGCTTATTGAGGGCTGGGACTAGATATCTTACTACCTGGTGCAGTCTCTGTGAGTCCCAAATTCTACTACCAAGCACCTCCCTTTGTCTTCCCTAAATTCCGCCACCCAGTGCGGCCATATGAGCCCTGGCTCTGGTTCTGGGTTTATGTGAATAACACATATGTAATTTGGCTATGAGGCATCAGGAAAATCTATGTTTAGCATATGGAAAGAAATTTTGTAAATTTTTCCGACACTTTCTGCATTTTACTTAAATCTGTAAGCACGCCAACGTAATGTCACAAAGGTACCATACTCTTTCTTATTCACTTACTAACTAAAAAAATTGTCTATGTCATTCTTGCATGCTTCATGATCATTACTCAGAGTCCTGTGCTGATAACATGCGGTATAAAGCAAATATAGTAATGATTCACCAGGTTCTCAGGATATAAATTTGTAGGTGTAAATCAACATGTTCTATGTAAATATTTCAGTTTCGATAGATCCAAGCGATACAGATTGGAGCCAAAATACACATCACACAAAATTATGCTAAATGATTGTTTCGTCATATCAAGTACTATTTGTGCCAATTGAAATTCATATCCGACTCTCCACATATTTATTATGCTGGGGCAGGGCATGAATGGGCGCATACATAAAAAAAAAAAATAGTGGTGGTGGCTTGAGCTGCATTTAGATCATTCCAGATCTTGAGTATTGTATATGAGGAAAGTTATATAAACATATATTCATGGAAGAAAAAACATTATAACCGCAATTCAGAAGTCAAACAACAAAATCTTCGTTAATTTTCAAATTTTACATGACAGTTTCGATGGTTTTAACCGAACCACCATCCTCACTGCACAACCCAAATGAACAGATAGGAATAATGATTAGATAAGAGCCTGGCAAGAATAAGCAAGTGCGCATCGTTGGGAACCAGAACTAAAACATAACTTCTTTAAAGGCCAAGGCAAAGATGTTGGAATTAGGATCGTGCGACAGAACAAAATTTTTTGAATGGAAATCCTCTAGCAAATCCGTTCTCCAATGGAAGATTTTTTTTGATAATTTTGGCAGCAAAAATTGAAATTGTGATTTCGTACCAACATTTACAACATAAAACTTCTGGTTTCCTTTTTTTCCAAATCTCCTTCATGTTCCTTGACACGAAATTTTAAGTCGCTCTTATTGGCCAATGCAATTAACCAACGGCAAGAAATCTGTAAATACCACAAGAAGTCCTACCTGGGGTCCTGTCTATACTTTCCGTTTCCGACATTTGTCACGTAACACATCCAACTTCAGTACAGTATACGTAACCTCTCGGTTGCCGCCCCACACTTTAAAGCTGCATCCGACTAAACAAAGTTAGCTTCATTTATTCCTTTTTCCTGCTCTCAGTTTGCTCCTCCAACTACCTGATGAGAACTAAATATTTAAAAGCAAGCTTACGGGGCTTTTCACCCAACATTATTAATCAGCATTTAAAATTCTCATCTCAACACAAAAGCCACACGCTTAGGTTAGAGATTAGAAAAATTTGTTTCATCCCTTCTTTCATCATTAGCTATAAAGCTGCACATAGTTCCAGAATTTAACTTCGGCTTGTTTATGCGCCCAGCAATAATTCCATTCGATACTCAAGACCCCATCGGATATAATCTGGGTATTTAAGATTCCTTGCCAGTGTGGTTAATTTACATGGGCCAACAAGAGACCTTAAAAGTCGCGTCAAACATGAGCAAGGTAAAAAAGGAACACAGAATCCTTCTATTGCTCACATGTGTGGTCTGAAAATATACTTTCAATTTTTTCTGCGCTGCCAAATTATGGAAAAAACATCTCCATTGGAGAACTAGATTTCTAGAGGCATGCACATTCAAAAAACTTTCTGTTCGTTTAACGATCCTAAGCCAATCCATCTTGCTTTTGCCTTTTAAGATTTAGTTTTAGTCTGGTTTCACCAGCAATGCAACACTTGCTTATTCTTGTTCAGGCTTCTTATCTTATGTCATCATTATTCCTATCTTCTTCATTTGCGTTTTGAGCTGAGGATGTGGTTCGTGAAACCATCGAAATAGTCCTGCGAAAATTTGAAAATTAACCGTTGATTTGTTCGACTCTGAATTGTTACTATCGCTTTTACTGTGTCTCATTATTATAAGCCCAGTTCAGAGGTGGATTGTACATTTTAATATGAACCAGATTCCTTGTTCAAATGTTTTAAAATTGCCAGAATTTTTCTTTTGTCTTCATGGCACTAATGCAGCAACTGAGCAAGTATTTAGCATTATGAACAGTTTTTGGACAAGTGATAAAATTCCACTTAAAGTGGAATCTTTGATGGGTATGCTAATCACCAAAATAAATTTTGATGAAAATTGCACGGACTTTACAAGAAGATTAAAAAAGAAAAAGATGTTATAAGAAATATTCATTTCATGCTTCAGAAAAATATAAGGTTACTTCATCAAAATATTTTAGAAGGATTACAAATTTATTATTGTTTAAAAATGAGTACTGCATTTCGATTTATTCTTTATTTATTAAAAAATATTATGTATCACCACTAAAAAAATTATTTTGATCTTTCTCTCTCTGTATATATATTTTGATCTATTTAACTCTATATATGTTGACCTACATACCATCTTTACTACAATAACAATAAAATAATTTATTTGGTGACAAAATTATTTGAAAAATTATATACAGTCAAAAGTCGTTAATCCGTACTCGTCAAGACTTCGGCGATTCCGGATTATCGATAGACTCAGTTAAGTCTGTAAGATGGCATGCAGAATTATAAAATTAAAATTGAAAACGTAATTTATGAACTAAAGACATTAATGATCTAAAGAGTATAAAATTTATCAAAAAAAAAAGCTTAATTTTATTTGTTTACTTATTAACTTTTTTCAAGGTAAGTGTTTAGAGTTGCTTCGTTTTTATTGGAATACTTTCTCTTTAATTCGATAAGAGACATAATTTCTTGTTCAGTTACAAGTGCCGCTGTTTACGAAGAGTCCTATATTGCTGTGTCCAGAATACGACTAATTTTCATTCGAAATTTTTTCGTTTTCATAACCTCTGTGTCCTTTCTTCTCTAATGTAGGCGAATTATACTGCCAAGAATTTTATTATAATTCGGAAGCGAATTATACAGGAGAAATTTGATTTAATCATATCACATCCGGAGTACTTCGAATGAAATTTGTTATAATCTGAAGCGAATGAACATAGGATTTGATTTAATCATACAAGACGGAGTACATCGAATGAAATACACATTGAGTAAGGAATTATAAGCCAATAAAAAAAAATCTGCCCTGAGATAGTATGCTGACAGATCCAACTTCCTTTCATGCGTCCACGTCGTCCCTCCCCCACACACCGCGCAGAGCACTGAAATTGATCACAATTTGAATGGTTAGATAAACAAGGATATGCTTTATCCCTTTTTTGCAGCATTCCACTTTGTTTATGGACTCGAAACACCTTTTCGCTTGTGTCCTTACATATTAGTAATATATCTCAAAATTCTATTTGACTGATTGAAAGTTCAAGCTTACTTTATAAATTCTCAACGTCTGCAAAAAAATAATAATGCGATCCAATCGAATTACTGAACTACAATCTGCCAACTTACGATTAGTATTTTAGCTAGCTTAGACTGCCTTATACCGCATTAACGCGTATTTGTAAACGATTTGCACATGCACACCTCATATTCTCAGTCCGTAAGGTCTATTCGCTGGCGTCAAAGCCCACATGCGCAGAAAGTTTGTAGCTTTGAGGTACGGATTATAGATCATTCCAGATTATGGGTGTTCGAATTAACGACTTCTGACTGTATATAGCATCCTGAATTTTGATCTTTGAAATCTGGTCACTTTACTTAAATGTGCAGTTGGGAAGTTGATTTTTACATTTTAGAAGTTTCTTATGACTTTGAATCAGACTTCCAGTCTGATTTTAAATTCGTGCCCATCTCCTTTGTCCAATGCCACCAATAATTTAGAAGCACTTACAACAACACACTTTCTAGTTGGGCAATTCTTAACATCTATAACAGCACCTAAAATATAATGCTGATTTTTGTTGTTTGGCTTCTAAATTAATGTGTCTTATTTGTTTAAATTTGAACTTTTCTACTTTATAAACTATGATACATCATACATGATTTCAGGTAGTTAATAATACAGTCATTCCTCAGTTATCGTGGTTAATAGGGACCAGAACCGGCCACGATAAGTGAAAAACCACGAAGTAGTGTTCCCCTCTCATTTTTAACATATGTAGATTTTTTGTGTATGTATAATATCAATAAGTGCATATGAAACCATATAAGTGCACATGTTATCATTAGAACATTAAAGAATAGTTTCAATTATGTAAATAAAATATTAATAGTATAAATAACATACATAAAATAGTGTATAAAAAATATAAATATGATACGTGTGTGTGTGTAACATACGTAGATGTAACTAAAGTGTACAAATATGATTTTAGAACTCTTTTATTCTTATAACAACTTTTCTTTTATAATAAGGTACGTAACTCACCTCCGACAATAGCTTCTCTTCGCATGATCTTTATAAATGCTGATGAGACACCTGTGCAGTACGATGGAGGTGAAAAATATGAAAATGATTTACTGCATAGGTTAATGAGAACTTTACTGCTCCTCAGATGATGCCTCATCGTCAGGTGCCAAGGGCGCTGGATCATTGGTGGCAGCTTCGGATAGAGCTGGGGTAGCTACAGGAGGCGGCGTAGAGGCAGCAGGAGGAGCTTCTGCAGAATGCTTTCGGCGCACAAGGAACATCGTGGAGTCGTGACCATTGTTTTTCTTCTGAGCAAAGATTCCCTTGTACAACGGCATTACACATCAATACAGTTACTGAATTCTACGGCTCTGACCATGTTTTCATCGATTTCTTGGGCCCTTTGTTGCAGAGCTCTTGCAGGTTTTCCAAAGGTAAAGTTTCCACGTTCTTCAGGTTCATTGTCCTCACCATTGTCAGCTACTTCCTCTTCTTCCTCACTCAACGATCTTGTCATTTCGACGAATTCCTCATTGGTTAGGGGGTTTGAGTGGCACTCGATCAGTGTGTTAACTTCTTCTGCCGTGACGTTGGAGAACCCTTCAGGGGCTACCAAGAGAGCCAGCCTCACAGCCTTATCTACGGCACAGTGGTGAACTTCGTCAGATATAAATCCCTTGTAGTCATGGCGTTATGCTAGCCAGCCAATCAGAGACATGAATTTTGAATTGTTTGGGCACTCCCTGCGTTCTGCTGGTACACAGGCAACTTTCACGCCATAATTCCTCAATTTTAAATTTTTGATGAGTAATTTTTAACAATCTGCGATGTACTGAGGATGCTATAAATGAACCACGAAGTAGTGAGGGATGACTCTACATTAAATATAAAAAGCAAAGAAATGAATATTTTTGTGCTTTTTAGTAATTTGAACTTTATTACTTTAGGTACGTTTTGTGATATTAAAAATTAACTGCCCCCTTCAAATAATGCTGCAGTATACATACATATTCATTTCTGAAAAATAAATTAGCTGTAGAGAAATAGGAGGTATTAAAGTTTCATTAACCACTGTATGCTCCCTTTTTATTAGCCTTTCAATATCACAACAGACATGCAGATCAAACTTACTTGTGTGGTTTTAAAAATCTAATTTAAAGAGGAGTTGAGGCTTCAGATTCTAATTTTAAAGGAATGCAAAACTGCATTTAAAAATGTAACTAAACATACAGCAACAAACAAAAAAATTAAAAGCATAATTCTTAGAATTATATACTTCAATAATGAAATAAATTTGAACATACATATGGCTACTTGGTGCAGAAAATACACTCGTTCCCCCTCCTTCATCTACATACTGAACACAAGGTACAGCTTGGCCAGATGGTATTGCGATTTCATGTCTTTCAGTTTCCTGACTTGGAACTAAATAATAATTTTTATATTTTTTCATACTGTAATCACATCTTTCGAATAAAGTACTGAATGAATCAACTGCTTCCTTAATATTTTAGATATAACAACAAAGGAATAAAAAAAAGCAGTATTGTTCATTGCAGTTGTAGAACAAAAAGTAATATAACTAATGAACATTAAAAAATATTAACATTAATTAAATGCAAATACTGAATGGCTACAGAAATATAAATAAAATATTTGCAAATACAGTAGAAGTCCAGAAATCCACAACACTTGGTACCAGAGGTTGTGCGGATTTTGCAGATTTCAAGACAGAAAATAAAATATTCAGACTAAAAGTGCAAAATAAATAAAGCGTATTAGATACATTTAATTAAATTATTATATACATTAATACAATAATTAATTATATGCATTAAATTATTATTACATATATAAACTGATTATATTATATTGTTCATTTACATTAGGCTTTTCTATTTTTAAATCAGCATGAATCTGCTAAGTGTTAGAATCACAGTTGCTGTAAAATTTCAACAGCTTTTCTTTATTGTTCCGTATATCATACACAGTCCGTGTGGCAATTCAATACGATTCTGCTATAAACCGAGCAGTAGCACCTGCCTCCATCTTTAGCAGAACCTCCCCTTTTTTTCATTACCGTCAATGCATTTTTCAATGTTGCAAGCAGTAAAATCACGAATGCGTTTCTTATCTGTCATTGCCTTAAAAAGGCGCTGAAATTAAAAATATTCTTATTTTATCCACAAAGTATCTGAATTAAAAAAAAAAAAAATGACATCACTAAACAATCTCGTGAAATAACGAAGCTCAGAAAGTACAACGTGAAGCTCGAACTTGATAAAAGTTGAGTCAATCGTCTGCTTTTTTACCTCGATGCAGATTGGAGGAGGAAAAAACTCTTATCATGAAGTCAATAATTTGGTATTTCCGTTATGACTCATTTTTATTCGGTCATTATGACGCCATTATCCAGTAAGCATTTTTCCTTCAATATTTCGTACTCCATGTTGCAGTTTCCAGAACCTATAAACTAAATGTTTATATTTTGAGAGGGAATGCGGATTTCAGGAGCTGGTGGATATTCAGTATTTGAATGTATTTTATTTATTTATTTATATCGCTTAAATTTTCAAGGCTTCGATAATGTAATCTTATTTACAGTGATTCATTAAATACTAAAATTTTCAGGGCTTCGATAATGGAATGCAATTTACAGTGATTCATTAAATACTATGGAACATAATCTAAGAACTTACCTCATAAAATAGGGTGAAATACCTATAAGTTTTAAGCATATTATGAATATATATTTTTACAAATTTTGTACCTATATTAATAATTTTAATAAAATTGTATGTGAAATTGTCTTTTTTTTTAAAATAATGTAACATTAAAATCTAAAGAAGCAAAGCTTTGCCAGAAAAGTAAGGATATAGGAGTAATTCTATTTAACATCGAATTATCACCAAGCTGGCGATGATTTTGTCTACTAATTTTTGTCACTAAACTTGGCCGCTATTTGAGTCTGTTCCATGCATAAATATATTGGGTACTGTAATTGAATAAATGTAGTTAATTCCATATGTAAATGTAACCTATATTCCAGCCTTCTTATGCATTCCAGCAATTTCGAGAAGAGAAAAGTACTAGAAATTTCTCAGCAGCCGCGAGAAAACTATATAAGACCAGGAAAAGCATCAGTTTCATAGTTGTTAGTTCAGAGCTACTTCGGAGTATTGACATATTCATGACAACTTTGCCTTTCAGATGCACTTTGCATTGTGTTGTGTTTAGCAACATTCTTAGCAGTTTGCAGAGTAACTATTGATTGTACTCTGTGATATTGAGAAGAGCTGTACGAGTAGTTTTTGTGAAAGGTTCCAGAACTGTAAATTGTTTCTTTTTATAAAAATAAGTTTTATCAAGCTGTCATTGGTTTTGTGTGCATTCAATCTATTCAAAACCATAAGCACACAACAATTTTCGGTGTCAGGAGACGGGTTGAATCCTGGTAACAAGAGCATGGAGGAGCAGTTCAGATAGTTGGTGGCAGATTTGCTGCATTTAAAGAAGATATGAATGTGGAACAAAAATGTGTTAATGAAGAGATTAAAGGTGTTAAAGAATTGTGAAAGCAGACCAAGAGAAGATAAAAGTAGACCAAGAGAAAATGAAAAGTGAAATTACTTGAAAAAAAAAAAAAAAAAGGAAGAAGAAGAAGAATTGAGGCTATAGAAGGCAGAATAGAAATGGTTGAAGATGAAGTTGGAGAAATGCAACCCAGAGTTTCTGTGCTGAACAACAAATCAAAGAAAAACATTCGAATAAGAACTGTCAAACAACAAAATGATAACAGAGTTTCTGCTGCTGTCACCAAGGAAGTTGACAGTTTAAAGAAATCCATAAAAACTGATGGTCAGAATTCTATCGTCTTTAAATTAAAGCATATGTCATCCCAACCCTCTCTAAAGTTATTTACATATGATGGAAAGACCTCCTGGCTCTCTCCAGTGTATAAGACACAGTTTTCTATAGTGGCAAATGGATGATGCTTTAGCTTCAAAGCCTGCCATGTCACCACTTCTCTTACAGCAGATGTAGCAGATATCCTTTATACTCTTCTCAAAACCAGAGGCTTAATTCTGAAGCTCTGCCTGGCATGCTGGAGCTGCATTTGATGAGAAGTGCTTAAAAATCTATAGCAGACTTCAGTTAAAATCTCACCCACAGAAACTCTCCAAAAGCTTGCCATGGATGCTGAAAGACTGTCCCTTTTTGATTTTTCAGATTGCTCATCAGAAACAAGGGATATTCTATCTCTGCAGTATTTCATCAATGGTATAAGGGATCTTGAGATACAGAAAGCCCTGTGCATGGTCGATGTCAAGGATTTAAAAAGTGCTTTAGTGTACGCCATGAAATTTGAGGGAGCTCAGCATGCAACTCATAGAGACTGCCACCCAACCAAGTTGCTCAAGCCCAGAAGCTAGTGACTGCTCATCTAGACGATTCGATCATATAAGTCAAGACCTCGAAATGGAATAGGTGTGACACGAAACCAGCCCCAAAGTGCTGTAACTGTGGTGGTGAAGGCCATATATGAAAGAATAGCAGAACACCTCAATGCATGGAAAACAAGACTGCTCCCCAGCAAGGATGTACGAAACAAATTAGAGGCCATCTTGTGCAGCACAGATTGCCAGATATTGAGAAACCGCATTTTAAAGCCCTTTAGATTTCTGCAATGAGTGGCAGCAATAATGGGACAAATCAATGGAGTTCCTTCGAATATGACTATTGATACTGCAGCGAATGTTATCAAAGTTAAACAATTTAAATCCGCAGAGATTTTGGTCAGCAATTGGACGTTAAACTCATCTGGATGCCACCTGCATTACATTCTAGACTGTATCTGGAGATAAAATTGACATATGGAAAATAAAACATTAACATCACATTTGAAAGTGCCATCTACCAACACACGGCACATGTACTGGTTATTAACGATATTTGCATACTCAGATAAGACTGTTTGTTGGTTACAAGGAGGCCACCTAAGTGCCTACTTGTTTGTGCCCTAGACACATTGGACCTACACCTGGAGTTATGGCGTGGGGAACAATTTCATATGACAATAGGAGCACTCTCACAGTTATCCCATGCACCCTGACTGCAAATCTGTACTTCAGTCAGGTGATTCAACCTGTCCTGCTGCCATTCATGAACAGCATTCAAGGAGGTGTTTTCCAACAGGATAATGCTTACTCTCATACCACTGTTATAACCAACATGCTCTACAGATAGTTGACATGTTGCCTTGGCCTGCTAAATCACGAGATCTTTCTCCAATCAAACGCATGTGGGACATCATTGGATGACAACTCTAGCATCATCCAAAACCAGCATTAACCACCCCTGTATTGACTGATGAAGTGCAACAGGCATGGAACTCCATCCCACAAACTGGCATTCATCACCTGTATGACACAATGCATGCATGTTTTCAAGCTTGCAATGAAAATTCTAGCATTTACACCAGTTATTAATGTACTAGCATTTCATATTTGAAGTGGCTCTTCTCATACTCGCAAATGTCACGCACAAATGTATTGCCAAAATCTCATCACTCATAATAATAATAGAATACATTAATTTTAACCTTGTTTTCGGAATTTTTTCCCCGCCAATTTATAACTACAGTACAAAGATCGGGACTTCAGCGATTCCGGATATTAGATCATCAGTTTAAATCTAGTAAGATGGCATGTAGTAATTACAAAATTAAAAATATGAAATCGTGATTTATGAACTAATAAAGCATTTATGATCCAAAAGGTATCAAATTTTACAAAAAAAAAAAAAAAAAAAAAAAAAGGCTTAATATTTATTTTTTTACTTTATCAAACATTTCTTTCAATACAAGTTTAATTTGCTTCGTTTCTTATGTTAATACTTTCTTTTTAATTCTGTAAACAGACATAATTTCTTGTTCAGTTCCTGTAACTGCTGTGTCAAGAATTCGGATTAACATGTCAATCAAAATTTTTTCATTTCCAATAACCTCTCTGTCACTTTCTTTACTATCGTTAACGGTATGTCTTAGTGGTATGTTCTGGATCTAGAACCACACTACAGATTTTGCCATCCGTTAATTGATTGATGACTTCAGTTACATCATCATTATTACTGCTTCTCCACATTTCTTTACCAAATCCATTAATTGGAAAATTTCACTTTTGGTTTGCGATATCCAAAAATCTTCATATTCGTGGCAATCATCTTCATCATCCTCACCATTAAATATGGTAGCTGGCCATAAATTATGCCAAGAGACACATTTTCCCACAATCTTGCAATGCTCTACACAGCAGATTTTATGCTAAAATATTTCAGAAATTCTTGAAAAGTCTTGCCATTATTCAAGAAATTTAACATGGATATTTAAAATGCTACTTTATATTTGCATTTCAGTGCATGAACTA